GCTCGCTAGTCCAACTGAAACACTGAACGAAGTGAGGCTCGGCCAGCAGATCAAGGGTCCCCAAGGCCGCAGAAGTGGCGGAGCTGGGGCAAGACACGCCCAGTGGGGCTTTCTCTTTCCACAGCAACTTGCATTTCAGTCCATTGAGAGGCCGCGGGCAGGGGCCCTTGAATCTCCTCTCCCATGACCCAGGTTTGCCTTTGAACGACGATTCTCGAGACTTACCTTCAGTGCGTGGGTCCCCGCTTCAAGGCAAAACAGTTTACGTGACCTCTTTTTAAATGTTTACACCATTACCCATGCATAAAATTATGCTGCAGGTACCAAAAATATCAGAAACTGAGGGACCGTAATCTGCTATCATTCTTTCCCCAATTCTCTAGAGAAAATGACCTAAAATATATGACAAAGTAGTGAATTTAAAGACATGCCCCGATACTGTTTTAAGCAATTTCCATGTGTTATTTTAACTCCCATACTAACTGCGAAGGTAGGAATTCTTTTCATTTCCATTTCACTTAAGCAATGGAAGCAGAGGGGATCGGCACATCCCACACATGGTGGCTGGGCCCTGGTCAGATTGGCTGTAGATGACAGGGAAGGAGGTAAGTCTCTTAAGGACTGGGGTCCCTGCAGCCTGCTGCCTCCCCCCGACAGGCCTGGAAGACAAAGGCGCCTGGGAGGAACAGGCATGCCTCGTGGTTTCCTCTCAAGCACTGCCTCCAAACCAGCCCCTTGGCAGCACTCAGGGACTTCACGGAGCGGCGTGGTGGCGCCAGCTGCCTGAGCTCTAGTGGCCTCAGGGGAAGCCGTGGAGGGGCAGGGAGAGGCCACAGCTCCCACAGAGCCAGTGTCTGCAAATACACAGTCTGGAGGGTCATGTGTGGTGGGGAGTCGGGAGAGGGGTGAGAAGGCCAGTCTCTGGTTTTTTACTTTGGACACTTGTATCCCAGTGTGAATTCAAGCACAGCTCCTTGGGAGAACTGGATAGAACTCAACAGAACACAGGGTCTTGAGTCTCAGCAGTAAGTTGTGTGTGAGGTATGGACAATGGGCCCTTGGGGTCCTACCCGGCACCAGAGGCAGGGCAAGTAGAGAGCATGGGGGCTGGCATCTGGGGTTGGACCGCAAGCTGGGGAGGGTGCTGGGGCCAGTGCTGCCTGACCTTGGCAGGCAAAATGCCCTGCAGGATCCCAAGGGCCTGACTTGAGTCTTATCCTCAGAGGTCTCCAGAAAGGCAAAGCTGTGTCCTGTGAGCTGGTGCCGGGGTGTGAGGAATGGCCTGGCAGCAGGAGCGCCTCCAGTCCACACCTTACCTATGGCAGCAGGAGCGCCTCCAGTTCACACCTTACCTACGGCAGCAGGAGCGCCTCCAGTCCACCACCTTACCTATGGCAGCAGGAGCGTCTCCAGTCCACCACCTTACCTATGGCAGCAGGAGCGCCTCCAGTTCACACCTTACCTACAGCAGCAGGAGCGCCTCCAGTCCACACCTTACCTATGGCAGCAGGAGCGCCTCCAGTTCACACCTTACCTACGGCAGCAGGAGCGCCTCCAGTCCACCACCTTACCTATGGCAGCAGGAGCGCCTCCAGTTCACACCTTACCTATGGCAGCAGGAGCGCCTCCAGTTCACACCTTACCTATGGCAGCAGGAGCGCCTCCAGTTCACACCTTACCTACGGCAGCAGGAGCGCCTCCAGTTCATACCTTACCTACGGCAGCAGGAGCGCCTCCAGTTCACACCTTACCTATGGCAGCAGGAGCGCCTCCAGTCCACCACCTTACCTATGGCAGCAGGAGCGTCTCCAGTTCACACCTTACCTAGGCAGCAGGAGCGCCTCCAGTTCACACCTTACCTATGGCAGCAGGAGCGTCTCCAGTCCACCACCTTACCTATGGCAGCAGGAGTGCCTCCAGTCCACCACCTTACCTATGGCAGCAGGAGCGCCTCCAGTTCACACCTTACCTACAGCAGCAGGAGCGCCTCCAGTCCACCACCTTACCTATGGCAGCAGGAGCGCCTCCAGTTCACACCTTACCTACAGAAGGGGGCTGGACTAACTTCTAGATTCAAACGCTGAAGCCCTAACCCCAGCCCCTTGAGATGTGGCTCTATGTGGACACAGGGCCTTTAACAAGGTGGTCAAGTTACAATGAGGCCATCAGTGGACCCCAATCCAATCTGACTGGTGTCCTCTTGAGAGGGGACTGGAGGGGAAGAGGCACCAGGGCCCCGCAGGCACTGAAGAGAGGCCCTGCAAGGAGGCAGTGCCTGCAAGCCCAGGAGAGAGGCCGCTGGAGAAACCAAGCCCGCCCACAGCTTGATCGTGGACATGCAGCCTCCAGAACTGTGAGGAAACGAACTTCTATGTCAGCCATCCAGGCTGGGGTATTCCATTACGGCCGTCCTAGAAGACTTACACAGATGCCGGGTTACCTCTGCTTTATGTTCTAACCCACTGCCTACCAGAATTCAAAATGCCTGGTAAGTAACACAGTGAACAAAAAGGCTGTTGGGTTAATACTTTTAATTACATGATTGTAATTATACAATTTCCACTATTCGATATTTTGTATAAAACCAGTTACAACTCACAAGATTTTCCAATGTGACAATATGTATCAAACTACACACATATGCAAAGTTTACAGGCCATTAGGAAGCTTTATCTTAAAAATACCTTCAGGAAAATAAACATTCATTCAACCAGTTCTCTTGGCTTTAAAAAATATGATTAGAAATATACACTGTAAAAAAAAATCAAGACAATGATTGATCACTACTGATCAGTTACATTTTAAAACTTTTAATAATCTGTACATGAGTGCAGGTTAGATAAAAGTCTGCAAATTATTAATAGAAAACTGCAGTACTATCATTGGATGAACATGTCTGCTGACAATTCTACCAGGTAATTAAGGAGGTAATTTCCTACACAGTATAGGTGAATTGTCCAGTCTTTAAACACATCTGGGGTCATCTCCGCTCAGTGACGTGGAGAATACCCTGATGTGGGGAAACGGAAGGGCAGCAGCCTCTCCAGGGCAGTTTCAGCGGGAGAGAACATTTCAAGGAACAATAAAATAGGTTTTAAAAGTTGCTTTTGATGAGCACTGCTTTCCAGAATGCAATAATGATTCTTTTTTTTAATGTAGAAAGAGAAGCCATGTTAAGAACAGACATCCAATGAGTGCACTGCCTCTGTGGCTCGGACGGTGACGGGGAAAGGGAATGCCTCAGGACAGCCCTTGGGCCATGCAGAAGCCCATGCCATCGGGCCAGTGGGCACACTGGCCACATGACAATGCTTGGGAACTCCTCTAAAACTTGCCTAGGCCCAAGAGAGAGGTAGCAATCACCCTGTGAGAGGGCTGGAGGGGAGGGGAGGAAGGAGGTAGGGGGCAGGCTAGGGGCATCAAGCTCAGAACGGGGAGTTCTGGAGGCCAGCAGAGCCCTGCCGCGTGCTGCCGGAAGCACTGGCCAGGCCAGGCCATTCTGCTCTCGCGAGGCGCCGCTCCCCACCAAGTTCTATAAAAAGTCAAGTCCGTCCGTACTTCTAGGAACCCAGTTTTGCAGATGCTCTTCCTCCGGACCGTCCCTGACTCTTGATAATTTTGAGTACCCAGAAAGCTTCAAGGGCACCTAAAAATATGCACTTCTAATTTTAATTCCATTGCAAACTGTCCCGGTGTACTTTGAGGGCTATTTACGGCTCTTAAGTTAAGGGAATCTCTCCATCAGACAGACACAGTGTCATGTTCCAGAGCAACAAGGTCTTCTGTGACAAGGGACGCTAAGTCAGAACCCCAGAAGATTCTGGGTGTTTGTGGTTTCAGCTGGGGATGAGGGGAAGCATCCACTCTCATTCATGGCAGGAAGAACTTTCCAACCCTCAGACCGACACTTCCTGGATTCTAGAGACAGTCCCCATAATGTAACACTGTTGCTATGCACACCTTCCCGAGTCATTTGGTTATTACAAGGAATGCTTCTTCACCAAATCACAAGTTTTCTATGACTAATTTCAGTGAACCAGTTAAACAGAAGGATTTTTAGAAAGAGCCACAGTGATAGCAATTATAGGTGGAAACCTGAGCAGGCAACATGAAGAGGCAGTTAACAAAATGAAGAAGGTCTGTGGTTCCGCAGACACCCTTCCTTTTCTGGGACGAAACACCAGGAGGCCTGTCCGCCGTGAGGGAGACACAGCACTCGCAAGAGCTGCGGCGCCTACATTTACTTGTTCTGACGGGACGAAAAGCCAAACTAAGAAGGGATCAGATGGAAGCGCGATTTTCACAACTACCTGGATTATTAGTTATGGAGCGGATGGCCTTAAAAAGGGTAAGGGGAAGAAGAGGTGCCCTGAGAATTCAATGCTTTATGCATGGCACAGTTTGAATATTTATATTGTCTCAGCTCAAAACAGCAAAAGGAATGTACCTCCTCCCACCCACATCTTATTGAAGAGTGGTCTTCCCACAGCCAAGTGGGTCTTTGTGCCTATTCATTTCCAGGGACAGAAAGCCACTGTTTTTCTGTGATCCAGTCCCCAGTGTTTAAAAGCTGGCCTGACCCCACCCCATAGTGCCTGGCGGGGAAAGAGTCGCTCGTTTGGCTGAGAACACGGCATCTTCCGTCTCTCCTGATGCCGGTTGTTTTCACACTTTCTTCCAAGAAAGTGCACCAAAATGGAGGCACTGCCTTTCAATTCCTTTCTGCATTAAAGACTTTAACTTGTTTCTTCCAACTGCTTTAATTTCTTGAAGTTTTGTGAAAAAGGCAGCTTCGTAAAATGGAGTTGCCTACTAGACCTGGCGCACGCCTTGTGGCTTAGGAGAGCGTTTGCTTCTTACTGCTGTCAACATCTCGGCCCTCCATGCTCCCAGCACAGGCAAAAATGGGTTAACAATCATTAAACCACGCACTGCTTGTGGAAGGAACTGAGGTGAGTACTAAATATTCTTTTATTTTGCCCCCCCACTTTTTTTTTTTAAGCAGCAAATCAATTCTGTTTCTGTGACTGCTTCATGGCGCTGACTCTGCTGTGTTCCAGTAGGGTGGGGGAGAAGGCGCTCTGCAGAGTTACTGGTTGTGTTCCCTAACCAAAGGCAACAGTGAGATCCAGAAGCAAATCATCGTCACTGAGATCGCAGGCCGCGTCAATGGCCTTAGGCTGATCTCATAAGGAAAAAAAAAAAAAATCCAATGTTACAGAGAAGGACTCTAAAAAAGCGGTAACTTTTTTTAAGCCGACATTATTTGGGATTGCTGTTTCCAAGGGGAATAACTGACAGTGTGTTTCTTCCATGCAAGGAAGGAAATATGATTTTAATTTGTATGACTGGCAACCAAACAATGGGCAACGTCCCAGTTCTTCAGTCCCTAAAGGACAGAAAAAGCAATGATTTGCAACATCTTCCAACTCTGAAGTCAGTTTCTCCTCCTGAGTCTTCTAAAGCTACCATTATTATTCTCTTGCAAGTTTTAGGTTACCAAGGTACCACCTGGTCTTACAACATGCAACAGTATTTAAATGTGGTTTTCACAGATTCTTGTTAATAAAGCACTCTTTGGTGGAAGACAAGCAGCTTGGGTACTTAACAGAGTTAACATTACAACAGTATTACAAATAGGTGAAGATGATTAAGCCAAATAGTATCAAATTACAGAAAGTACCATCTCAGTAATGCCTTTTGTATCTTTATAAATTTTGACACAGGGTCACAAGGTGAACAGAAAATAAATACATAAAAAACCTCCATCAGATCCTCAACTCTTCTGAAGGCCAGCAACTACAATGATTGCCATCACAGAGACACACGTGCACCACAGAGCAACCAGCTCCCTGGGAACCAGAGGGCTTGGGTATTTACACCTGAGACTAAATTTACAACAGCATTTTTGTCGTTCAGCTTGAGAGCTGGGCCCTTCTCTGAGTCATTCGCTTGCACCCAAACTCAAAGTTCGTTTATTGAAACTCCAGCGGACACTTTCTCCATTGATCAACTTCTTAGGTGGAAAGCAACTAAGGCTTTTGCAATTTTGTTTTGTTTTCAAATTGTGCTAATTTCTGTTGCAGTTTTCAGTTCCTAGAGTCTTCCTTCAGCTCTGGTCACAGGTTTTTACTTAACGCAAGACTGTTTTAGTCCTTGAAATGGAGAGACTACGGGGGAAAAAAAAGGATTTTTACCATGAAGTTTACACAGCGTCCAGAGGCAGTTATCAAAGACAAGGAGGGTAACATAATAAAAGTGCTGACATGCTAAAAAGTATACGCTTGCTGTGAGTTTCTAATGACAAATACTTTGGAGAAGACAACACAATATCAACCACAAAGGAAAGACAAACAGGAGAAAGGCAGGGCAGAAAAAGGTTCAGTTCTGCAAAAAATAGAAATTAAAAAAAACCAATACAAGTAAATAAAAATCATAAAAGACGGACGGGCAGAGAGGCAGCAGGGCCAGGAAAGTACCATGATGCCGCCAGGGGCACGTGCTGCAAAGCACTCGTTCTCCTTCCTTCCCTCTGAGGAACCAGGCTGTGGGAGGAGCAGGCAGAATGAAAAGACAGAGAACTGTTACTGGGTTATTTCAAAAGCCAGAATTTGGTCACAGAAAAAGCTCTGGCACCTAAGCGGTTTCCAGCGCCGCCAAGCACAGGAGACACCCCACGGGCTACCTGCCTCCGCACTCCATGATTCTCCTCCTGCCTCTCTTCTCTCCTTCCCCAGTTTATGACGCTACACTTTCAGGTCCATAACAACTTTCAGAAAACGAAACCAAAAGAAGAGTCAGAAAAACCACTTCCAATCTGGAGGGGCCCCTCGCCCGATGCTGCTGCTGCGCTCTTCAAGGAGGAGCGTTTGAATCGATCGTTTCATTTTCAGAGATCCCAACAGAGCACTGAGCCAAAAGATCCAGGTCAGCTGGTGAGACAAGTGGGAAGATATCTGGAATTTCAAAGGATCACTAATATTTTAAAAGACTGGAGAGAAACAGCATTTTACCAAGAAACATTTAGAGACAATCTTCTGGGACTCCGCTTCTGATGGACTTTGGAGACAACGGCAGTAGCCAAAAGTTAACGCCCAGAAGCAACGGAACAGGCACCCAGATCTGAGGCTCTGAGGGTCAAGAGGCAGTGGCAAGTGTGACACGGGCCAAGACACCCGAGAACACTGAAGAAGTCAGAGGTCCTAGATGCAGCTGCTCCCAACTGAAGGGCTCCTGAAAACATTCGTGGTTTTAGAGGCTAAGGAAAGAGGCCGGGCGCGATGCCTCACACCTGTAATCCCAGGACTTTGAGAGGCCGAGGCAGGTGGATCACCTGAGGTTAGGAGTTCAAGACCAGCCTGGCCAACATGGTGAAACCTCATCTCTACTAAAAATACAGAAAGAAAATTTTTAGCCAGGCATGGTAGTGCACGCCTGTATTCCCTCCTCAGCTATGCAGGAGGCTGAGGCAGGCGAATCGCTTGAACCTGTGAGGTGGAGGTTGTAGTGAGCTGAGATCGCACCATGGCACTCCAGCCTGGGTGACAGAGAGAGACTCTGTCTCATTTTAAAAAAAAAAAAAAAAAAAAAGAGGCTAAGGAAAGAAGCTGAGCATTAATCTCCCCAACCCCCGCAACATGAAGAATTAGGTACAGAGCACCCCAAAGTCCGGACCTTAGGTTTGGTTTGGCAGCTGCAGCAGAAAGTGATGGCTCCCAGTGATGCAACTCAAGAGTTAAAGTAACTTGTACATGACGGTTTCTTAGAAAATGAATGAGGTTATCATTTTAAAAAAAGAGCCTGCCTAAAAGAAACTGCATAAGCTAACAAGCACGCACCGGCGGAAGGGCTGCGTGACATGAGTGAATGCAAGCAAATGAGGTGGCTGCAGGCTCTCACTCGGAGCACGATGAAATTTCCAAGACTGTTCGAAGACAGCTCTTCACAGAGGTCACATGAGAACACTGAAAACAGGCCAATTCAACGGAGCCAATTATTCACTGGATTTATTAATTCTTAAAAGAGAAAGGTTAGCATGGATTTATAGCTCTCACAGGAAGTGGGAAGTGGAGAAGCTCACTCGCTCCCTCTCCAGACTCGGGGAAGGGAATGAGAAGGTGCCACAGAGAGCCCTGGCAGGACCGAGGGCCACACAGGCTGTCTGGCGGCCGTCCCAGACCTGTGGCCACATGAAATTTAGGTTTCGATGGGGCACAGCTTCAAGTGGATACATGAGGGGATAGTCATCTTCTGTGAGAAACTGCGGCACCTTTTCCCAAAGACAAATAGTGAAGACATCACTCCTGTTTTTTCAGCTGCTGCAAGTAATTGCTCTTTTGACGTTTTTGAAAAAGTTCCCCAAAGCTGAAGAGCCTCTCAGTAAACCCAAAAATCAAAAGCACCAATTAAGTGCAAAGCGAGTTTGGGTGGAGTCTTCATCCTGGATGCCAAGGAACATGAAAATGGGAGGTCAAGTTCCTACGCGCCACAGAGATGATGACAAACCAGCAGGAACTGGCAACCCTGGTGCCTTGCAGGTAGGGATGAAAGGACCCCAAAAGGGTGCTCTATTTTTTTTTCTACTGCTGTTTAAAGATTTCACTCAAAAATTTATTCAAATTTAGCTCATACTATTGTGCCCAGAATCAGACTATGCACCAACATACTAACTCCCTCATTACCCTCCAACCAGAAACGAATACGATTCAGTAGGATATTATGAACAATATTCAGTAGGGTAAAAGCTCCAGGCTACAGCTTGGCTGACTCCAATTCTTAAAAACTATACATAATTTATTTGCTTTTCTTTTGTAAGCTGCAGGTGGACAACAGGTAAGGTGATGTGAACACAGGCCGAAGCCCCAAAAGAGGCACAAAGAAAGAACCCGCTTAGAGGAAGGTGAGCCCCAGTTAATCCTCACTGTTAGGCTCCTTTTGCTCTCCACATCATCTCTGAAAGTCCATTCTGGAATTTAAAGGAAGTCTTTTTGGTTTTCAGAACTATCCAAAATTCCTGGAAACTGCTTTGGGCCATTTCAACATTCAGTCCAGATCACTGGCTCTGAAATCTCCCTTAGGACCCTCATATCATCCCAGCCAGGGGCCTCAGGCAGATGCTTGCTGCAACCAGGAACCACTTCTCCAGAGAGGCAGGAGTTCAGGTCACCAGACTGACATGGAAACGCAACAAGACCTAGATAGAAAAACAGAGGCAAGGCCTGGCAAGCACCGGCCAGGCTCCCGGACTCTACTCCTCTGTAACCTAAAAAGCATAATCTAAAAAAGCAAACAGCAGGATTAAATGTGCAAGACACACCAGGCTGTAATAAAAACCTGAGCGGCCAGGCGCGGTGGCTCAGGCCTGTAATCCCAGTACTTTGGGAGGCTGAGGCAGGTGGATCATTTGAGATCAGGAGTTTGAGATCAGCCTGGCCAAAATGGTGAAACCCCATCTCTACTAAAAATACAAAAATTACCCAGGTGTGGTGGTACATGCCACCCACAAGTAGTAATCCTAGCTACTTGGGAGGATGAGGCAGGAGAATGGTTTGAACCCGGAAGGCGAAGGTTGTAGTGAGCCGAGATAACACTATTGCACTCCAGCCTGGGCAATTCCACGTCAAAGAGAGAAAAACAAAAAGCCTGAGTACTCATGCACTCATACCTAAAAAGGATACACCCCTTCAAGACATGTCAGAATTAACTAATTAACTGTCATCAACGATAGGCTTTTTATTTGATTTTTTTTTTTTTTTTTGAGACGGAGTCTTGCTCTGTCACCCAGGCTGGGGTGCAATGGCGTAATCTCGGCTCACTGCAAGCTCTGCCTCCGAAGTTCAAGTGATTCTCCAGCCTCAGCCTCCTGAGTAGCTGGGATTACAGGCACCCGCCACTGCACCCAGCTAATTTTTGTATTTTTAGTAGAGACGAGGTTTCACCATCTTGGCCAGGCTGGTCTTGAACTCCTGACCTCATGATCTACCTGCCTTGGCCTCCCAAAGTGCTGGGATTACAGGCATGAGCCACTGCACCTGGCCTGAATTAATAGTTTGGCTCACCTAAAAGTGTCAGTTGAAACACTCCCATTTCCCTTCATTTATTGTAAAAAAAAATTGGAAAATAAGATGATAAAAAAGAAAAAAAAATCCCAACTGTCCCACCAACCAGAACTTTTATTAGTATCATAGCATATTTTCCTTTGTCTTATTTCTATACATATATAGACACTTATTCATCTATAAATACAGATGTATTGTAAGTATATAAATATTTATACATCTCTGTATTTCTATACATACATAGTATACTTACACTTACAAAATTACAGTCATACTTCAGATTTTTTTTTTTTTTTTGAGACAGAGTCTCGCTCTTTCACCCAGGCTGGAGTGCAGTGGCGCGATCTCAGCTCACTGCAACCTCCGCCTCCCATGTTTAAGCAATTCTCCTGCCTCAGCCTCCCGAGTAGCTGGGACCACACGTGCCCGCCACCACGCCCGGCTAATTTTTGTATTTTTAGTAGAGATGAGGTTTCACCATGTTGGCCAGGCTGGTCTCAAACTCCTGACCTCAAGTGATCCACCCACCTCGGCTTCCCAAAGTGCTGGGATTACAGGCGCGAGCCACTGCGCCCGGCCCATACTTCAGAATTGTTATGCATGGCTGTTTTCACTCATTGCTTCGTGTACTAAACTGTATGACTCCCAATTCATTTGGCATAATGTAACAATCTTGAGCCCACTTCCTGTTTCTCACTGTTAGAGATAACACTCCGCCGCTGTTCCAATGTACCTAAATCTTTGACCTTTGGTCAGTATTTCTCTAATATTCTTCTCAAGTAGAATCAAAGAGTAAAGAAATAGGAATATTTGGTACATTTCTAATGAAAAATTTTAAATCCTGGAATCATGAGTCAGTGCCTGACAGTCCTCAAATCCTCATGCCGGGGCACTGCTGCATCCTCATGTGAGTGTAAGTGTGCAGTCAGATTGTACAAAACAGACAGTGACGAGGAAACACGGCAGAGCTGAACGAGTCCTCCAAATGCGAAGCACACAGAGCTCCCAGCTCTGCCGAGGGTCCCTCGGGAGACTGGCTGCTTTGCACTGGGGACTAATTTCACACTGATAAGGCCCTGAGGCCCAAAGCCTCAGATACACAGGGCAGGGAAGCCGAAGAGAAGCGGGGCACATGTGCAGGACATTTTAAAGTCTGGTTCTGATTATCTTCAGGTCGCTCACGTCTGTTAGAAGAGATCGTTTTTACCAGGAGAACAGAAACAGGACTGCATGGGCGGCCAACACCAGGCAAAGATGAAAAGATGCCCCCTTCTACTCCTGAGCCCTCTATCCCCACTTCCACTCCTGGGCTATCTATTCTCTCTTCAGATGGGATCTGTTATCAGAGTACTTTAAAAATGGCATGTCTACTTCACGAGAAATATCCAAAGACAACAGAGTCACCGACGTGGTCATAGAACACATTGGTTTTGCGAAATTTTCCCTCCACTTACTGAAGACAGTGCTGACAGTGAAAGAACTAGTGCCTCGCGTGTGGGCTGTGGCCAAGAGGACAAAGAGTCACTAGGCAGAGAAGGATCCTCAGACTCTCTACAGTTATCTCATGTCCACCATCACACTCATTTCAGCTACTCGTCCAGCAATGATGCTGTGTCTGATATGCACTAGAATGATGTCCTCCAAGTCCTGACAGCCAGCTCTGGAAATTCTTAATTTAAAAACTTTCCCATATCATGACCCAGACACCGTATTTCCAGTGTCGAGAATTACTTCTGAAATACAAAACGAAAGCCTACATTAAAATGGTCCAGATTTTCTTAGATAATGAACAAGTAACACACAGACTCTACTTTCTCCTAATTTCATGTCAATCTTCAGAGGTAGGGCCCAAATATTAAACTGGAAAACCAATGCTTGCAACTTTTCAGAAGAGTAGGATTCTTTTCTCACCTTTTAACACTGCTTTTCCTTGAAGCAGATCTGGTGGTTCTTTTAGTAATGCCTGCACTGCCAGAAATGTTAGGTTCAGATGTTTTACAGCTCTGAACACTGGATTGAAGAATTACTCTGAAAATAGTTGGAAAAAAATAAGATTACATTCACTGAAACCATTTGCAAATACTTGACAGAGGAAAGTATTTTTGCACTTTAGTGCAAATTATCTTGAGAATTGAGAGGATTTTCCATCAACACATTTACCAAAAAAAGGTGAAACACATTTTTACATCAAGGCCTTTTAAAATGAAGCATCTCATTTCTCTTTGAAGGCTACACAAAGATAACCGGAGGGCTTTGCTTCTGGAAGGTGAATGACTTGGCATTTTAAGCAATTCCCACACCAAAGAAATTCACCAGCCAAACAAATCTTTCTGCCCAACAAAAGCAAAAGTAGCTTCTCAGACTTTCAGTCATGAAACAAGACACCATTAAGAAGCCCAAATTCTAAAGAATAGGAACATAAATTCAGGAAATAACTATACAATATTTACTCTTCAAAGCTGTAAGTATGGGTAATAATCCACTAAATCAATACTAATTTTATGTAACATTTCAAAATTTTAGAAAGTGTTTAAGCAAAATATGAGTTTCGTCTGGATTATAACACTAAATCTCCAAGTGCCACTAAAATGAAAGTGAAAACACTTAAATTTTGAAAAGCTTGCCTTAATTAAACTCTAAAAAGCTTGAGACACTGGTGCCTATGAGAGTAGACTGCCCAGGAGGAAGTACACGATGAATCAGAAAAGAACACCCTGAGATAAAGGCCACACGGAATGTCCTTTTAGAGGCAGATGGTCCTCTGACTTTTTTTTCTTTAAATTGTCATAGGGAAAATAGCAGAAGACATCAAAAGATTTTATATGCAATTCTTTTCTTTGAGACAGAGTCTTGCTCTGTTGTCCAGGCTGGAGTGCAGTGGTGTAATCTCGGCTCACTGCAACCTCCGCCTCCCAGGTTCAAACGATCCACCTGCCTCAGCCTCCTGAGTAGCTGGGACCATGGGCACCCACAACCTCACCTGGCTAATTTTTGTATTTTTAGTAAAGATGAGGTTTTGCCATGTTGGCCAAGCTGGTCTGGAACTCCTGACCTCAGGTGATCTGCCCACCTCAGCCTCCCAAAGTGCTGGGATTACAGGTGTGAGCCACCACGCCAGGCCTATATGCAACTTTTTTCTTCAAGAGATAATCAATGACAAACTAAACACATATACACACATTTATAGATACCAACTTTTAATTTTCTGAAAGAGAAAACACTGACTTAAGCTTTCTTCTCTCCTATTCAAACATAAAGGTGAGAAAGCCAGTAACAACTTATGAGAACCCAGCTCAAAAGAGTAAAAAGGAACCATTACAATGAGTGAGCATCCCACCTCATAGGCCTCAGCTACCACCATGCTGGCTAATATACCAAAGACAGGGCCTTAAAATATGCTAAGATTAATACATTTCTACAATCTTAGCATCACCCAAACCAAAGCATATCCAACACTTAGTGAAATGCTAAACGTCTCATCACTGAAAAAGCAACAAGAGGCTGGGCATGGTGGCTCACGCCTGTAATCCTAGCACTTTGAGAGGCCAAGGCGGGTGGATCACAAGGTCAGGAGTTCAAGACCAGCCTGGCCAAGATGGTGAAACCCTGTCTCTACTAAAAATACAAAAATTAGCCGGGTGTGGTGGCAGGTGCCTGTAATCCCAGCTATTCAGGTGGCTGAGGCAGGAGAATTGCTTGAACGCGGGCGGCACAGGTTGCAGTGAGCCAAGATTGCACCACTGTACTCCAGCCTGGGCCAAAGAGCGAGATTCCATCTCAAAAAAAAAAAAAAAAAAAAGCAACCAGAGCAGAACCTGGAGCTTGTCTGGGCCAGCGGTCCAAGCCTTTTGGGGAGAAGGCGGGGCAGTTTTCCCCACTGTTTCACTTTACTCATGCCGGATTTCTGAGGGACCCTTGAAACTAGCTTTCTGTCTCACAGAGGGACGTGAATCCTGGATAAATCAGCCAATGTTTGGTTCAGAAATTCTCCTAGGGTGTGATCATCTGATACGTTGCATGTTCTAACACAACAGACAAAGGCGCTGGGTGTGGTGGCTTATGCCTATAATTCCAGCACTTTGGGAGACCAAGGCAGGAGGATCACTTGAGGCCAAAAGTTCGAGACCAGCCTGGTCATTTTAAGCAATTCCTACACCAAAGAAATCCTCCAGCCAAACAAATCTTTGTGTTCAAAAGTAAAAGTAGCTTCTCAGATTTTCAGTCATGAAACAAGACACCATTAAGAAGCCCAAATTCTTAAACATAGTGAGACGTC